GGGCCGCGCGAATATCAGGGGGAAGGTTGTTCCAGAGGCGAGGAGCCACCGCCGAGAAGGCCCGATTTCTTGTCTTTTCCTTCCGGGCCTCCCTTGGCGTTAGGCTCCTCAGCCTCCTGGCTCGCGCGAGTGACACGGGTAGATCTTGGTGGTAGAAGGCATTCCGCCAAGTATCGAGGCCCTAAACCGTTTAGGGCTTTGTACGTAAGCGTCAACACTTTGAAGTCGATGCGGAATGATTGACATTTCCCTCACAAGGGTTTTATTCAGACTGATATAATATAACAGTTTTCAACTTTCTAAAGTATTTTTTTCCTTTTGAATAGCCCTTACATTTCATGCCCCATGCAATGTTGACAATGGATCTCCAGAGAATATCCATATTTCCTTCTTATTTACTAGATGAGTGTATGCAGTTGGAACCCCATATCAGTGGAGGAGTGGTTCCAAGCCCCCCTGGTTGCTGGAAATGGCAGTAAATAGCTAACGCTGTACATGGCAGGATAAAAATAAATTCCAGAAATACATATATTCACCATGTAGTACCAGAACTGACAACTTGTTGTTGTTTAGTCATTAAGTTGTGTCCGACTCTTTGTGACCCCATGGACCAGAGCACGCCAGGCCCTCCTGTCTTCCACTGCCTCCTGGAGTTTGGTCAAATTCATGTTGGTCGCTTCGATGACACTGTCCAACCATCTCATCCATCTAGAGGGGGCCAGAGATGATGCTATGTGTTCTTGGTCTCTGGCTCCGTCTAGTGAGCAGTTCTGGTAAATACATTGTGAAGATCCATATTTCTAAGTTTTTTTCCCCTTTAAATATTTTTATCTGGAATGTTTTAAAATTAAGTATCAAAAACTTAACCATGAAATTTCTCGAATATAGAAAGCAACCACACCTTTTCCAATTTCTTTGTTTCTAGAAAAAATCTGTTTATACAGTGTTGCCTCGCTTAACGATTGCTTCGTTAAATGACGAAACCGCTATACGAGGACTGTTTTGCAATCGCTTTTGCGATCACAAAACGATGTTTTAATGGGCAAAAATCGCTTTGCGATGATCGGTTCCCTGCTTCGGGAACTGATTCTTCGCATTACAACGATTTTAAAACAGCTGATCGGCAGCTTCAAAATGGCCACCCGCTGTGTAAAATGGCTCCCCGCTGTGTTTTTGGACGGATTCCTCGCTACACAGGTACTGAAAATGGCCACCCCTATGGAGGATCTTCGCTGGACGGTGAGTTTTCAGCCCATTGGAATGCATTGAACGGGTTTTCAATGCGTTTCGATGGGATTTTTTATTTCGCTTAAAAAGGATTTTGCTCTACAGAGATTTTGCTGGAACGGATTATCCTCGTTAAGTGAGGCACCACTGTATTATGATACCATAAACATTCATAACCTTTTTTGTTCTTACTCCCAGCACAGCATTTATGATCAATCATCTCTAGTTGTTTTCCCCTCTTCTTGTTCTCCTGGTTAGCTATTCCAAAATGTTTGCATTATACCATGTTTCCCTGAAAATAAGACAAGGTCTTATATTAATTTTTTTTCCAAAAAGCACATTAGGGCTTATTTTCAGGGGATGCTTTATTTTTTCATGTACACCCATCTACAGTGGTGCCCCGCTTGACGATTACCCTGGTAGATGACGAAATTGTTTAACAATGAGGTTTTTGCGATTGCTATTGCAATCGCAAAACTGTGTTTCAATGGGGAAATTCCGGGGCACCACTGTACATTTATTCAAATGCAGTCATGTCATTTTCTTCTGGGTGCTGCACAATGGTGGAGGGCAGGGTTTCACCTAACTAGGGCTTATTCTTGGGGTAGGGCTTATATTACGAGCATCCTGAAAAATCGTACTAGGGCTTATTTTCAGGTTAGGTCTTATTTTCGGGGAAGCCAGGTAGTTTCCTGCTTAAATGGCAAAGTGTTTCTCAAATTCTTGTATACAATTCTACATATTATCTGCATACCTAGATCACTGGAATCTAATCATGACACGTTTCACATGTGAACAACTCTGGTTAAGAGGCAGGTTGGAACATGGGACGATGGCTATTGAAGTTTGCATGGATGCTATCCTTCTTTGCCACCAGGTAACCTGGCAACGGAATCTATGGGCTACATTCTGAGAAGCTTTCTAAGGTTAGGATGGAGGGCACCAGTCATACGTCCACAGGCAAAGCATTCCAAAGCTGTGGAGCCACCACCGTGAAGGCCCGGTTCCTCGTTACCATCTTCTGAGACTCCCTGGACTGCCAATCTGGCATTCTCATTGGCGCATTGCTTCTAAGTTTTAATTTTCAGGAATTATATCCACTTCTCAGCAGCTTCTCAGGTAAGAAGCAGCTTCGTCACCATCCCAGCTGAGGAGACAGCCTTGGGGGTCCCCTGCCAGCAGTACGATTCTACAACCATAAAGATGAATTCTCCTCCAGTCCATTTCCCTCTCAATAATTCCATGCTAAACAGGTGGGAAGCAAGGAGAGATGACTGAGAGAGAGAGAGAGAGACTCAGCTGAGATAAAGCTGCGTGCTTCCCTTGAACCTGGAAGGTCAGAGAGGAAGAAGGCAAAGCTGCCTTCCCTCTGGCCACCCACGTGAGCGTCTTCTTCTCTTCCACACAGAACGAAGAGTCCTTGAAGAAAGAAGACACACTTTCTCTCAACCCCTTCTTGCGAGTGAGGATCCCACCTTGTGGATTGTCCCTTCCTAAATCGCGACACCATCCTGCCTCTCGGAAACCTCGGATGTCAGGAGAAACCTAAAATCCCCAGAAGCGGTCTCCCAGGTCCTCCTTCTGGTGGAACCCCGGAAACCGCTGTGTTGCTTCACAAACAGGCGTCTTAATGCTGCACCTCGATCCTCTTCATCCCCCCCCCAAGGTTAGCTGACTGTTCTAAGCTCGCCATATGTTAATCCCTGCCATTAGAGATTTTGTCTGGTTTTTCTCATTTATTTTTCACCCCTTTCCTCCCTTGACGTGAGACCATGGCGCTTCCCCCTGACCCCTTTTCATCTCACCCAGGAGAGTCGTGAAGGTTTCGTCTCAGCTCAAAGGGCCTGGTCTGTGGGCAAAACAAGGGCCGTCTGGAGAACATGCGATGCTCCCAGAGCATGAAGTAACCTCTCAACACAGACTGTGACTTCCCAGTTGGAAGTCACAGTCTTCCAACAGTATCCAGGGGCTGACCTTTTTTTTTTTTAAAGAATGTGATTGCTGGAGGTGGTGCGATTGTATACATGCAAAACCCAGGAGTGCTTGGCCATCTTACCTGGTGTTTCTGCAGCGCCAAAGTTCAGGCAGACCAGAAGGGCCCTTGGGGGGCAGTAGAGAAGGCAGGATCCGGACTGTGCCTCCTGGGGTGGGTAAAAGACAAGGGGGAAAAAGGGAAAAAAAGGAAGGATGAGCCACTCAAGAAGCTGTCAAAGATGTGACTGAAAGGGTGGGGGGGGACAGAGGGGAGAAATAAGAGAAGGGAAGACTTCCCCACAATCGGCATGTTTGCAGTTCTGGCCTTGCATTGGTCTAAGATCCTTGTTCCTTTAAGGTCAGCTTCCCCCCCTTCACGGTTAAGCCTCATAGAAATAATACAAAAGTGATGTTGGAAGGGGTCTACAAGGCCATCAAGTCCAACCCCCTGCTCAACGCAGCAATACAAATCAAAGGATATCTGCCAGGTGATGATCTCAGTTTTTCTTTAATGCCTCCAGGGTTGGAGCCCTCAGCACCTCCCAAGGTCAGTGGTTCCACTGTCGAGCTGCTCTAACAGTATGGAGTTTTCCCCCCTGATATTCAACCAAAATCTGGCATCCTTTTAACTTGAGCCCATTGTTGTGCGTCCTGCACTCTGGGATGATCGAGAGCAGATCCTGCCCCTCCTCTGTAGGACCGTCTTTCAAATATTTTTAAAGTCCTGTCCTATCACCCCTCAGCCTTCTTTTCTCAAGGCTAAACATGCCCAGTTCTTTCAGCCTTTCCCTTATAGGGCTTGGTTTCCAGCCCCCCGATCATCCTTGTTGCCCTCTCCTGAACTGGTTCTATTTGAACTGCACACGATCCTCAAGGTGAGGCCTCACCCGTGCTGAATAGAGGGGGGCTAGCGCCTCGCTGGATTTGGAAACTCTACTTCTATTAATGCACGGTTCTATTTGTTAGCATCCTTCCTGAAGTGTGGTGTCCAGAACTGGACACGATCCTCAAGGTGAGGCCTCACCTGTGCTGAACAGAGGGGGACTAGCGCCTCACCGGATTTGGAAGCTCTACTTCTATTAATGCAGCCTAAAATGCCATTTCCTTTACCAGTGCCGAACAGAGAGGAACTATCCTTAGTGATGCCAATCCCCTGTGCCCTCCAGTCCAGGATGTGGAAGGGCCCCAGCCATGCCCAGTCCTCTTCCTGAGACCCTTTGTTATTCAATGTCTGGGACTGCACAGAGGCATTAAGGCAACCCAATAAGTGGCAACTCCTCCTGCCCTGCAGCGTCAGCCCTACGTCCGTGGGCACGTTCTCCCTTCACTAAAAGCAGGTCTGGACCTCTCGTGGCTGTCTTGAGTTTCCCCGGGTTATAGATTCCCACCCTCCACCCTGGCCCTTTCTGCCTCCATTCTTCTAAGATTCCCTCGTGGGAGTTGGCGTTGTGAGTGGGATTCATCACCACCACCTCCACCATCATCCTACCTTGATGCAAGCAGGACTTGAAAGCTTAATGGAGACAAGATTTTCTTTTGGACGGCGGTGAGAAACTTCAAAATGGCCCAGGCAGGAAATGGAAGTGCTGGTTTGGGGAATTCTTTCAAGAGGGGAAAATGTCTTCTTTTTTACTCTAAATTTTTTTCCCTTCTGTTCCAGCTGGCAGGCGAGGGAGGGGCTCACGTCATGAAGCATTTCTCCACCACCACAATAAAGTGTAAAAAGAGAGTTTCACACAAAAGCACCGGAGAACATGAAACAAATGAATATCTAGATTGTTGCCCCTGTTATACATAGTGGTGCCTCGCACAACGGGCGCCTTGTAGACCGATGAATTCGCTCTACGAGGCTGGTTTTGCGATCGCAAATGCGATTGCAAAACGGTGCCTTCATAGGGCGAAAATTGTAGAGCGAAAGTTGGTAAGCGGTTCGCTTCCCGACCTTCGCTTTGCGCCCCGCCGATCAGCTGTTCAGCAGCTACAAAATGGCCACCGGAAGCCCCAAAATGGCCGCGCACAGCGTTTTTGCGCCCTCGTTAAGCGAGGGAAGGGCGCGAAAATGGCTGCCGGCCATAGAGGAACATCGCTGAACGGTGAGTAAAGGAGCCTTTTGGAATGGGCTTTTCTGCCCCGTTCAGCGATGTTTTCACACAGCGAGGGTTAATCCTGTATGTGCACAGGAAGGGAATTGTTTACAAGCAACAGGAGAGATGCATTAAACCCTGGGAATTAAGAGAAATAAGAGTCTCCAATTCCCCTTCTATTCGGCATGGGTTAGGCCTCATCTAGAGTAATGTGTCCCGTTCTGGACACCACACTTCAAGAAGGATGCCGACAAACTGGAACAATTTCAGAGGAGGGCAACAAGGAGGATCAGGGGGCTGGAAACCAAGCCTTAAGGAGGAAAGGCTGAAAGAATTTGGGCATGTTTAGCCTTGGGAAAAGAAGATGGAGGGGGGGAATAGAAGAGCATTTCTCAAATATTCTAAAAGCTGTCATACAGAGCAGGGTCAGGATCTGTTTTCGATCCTCCCAGAGTGCAGGACACGCAACAATGGGCTGAATCCTGCCAGCCAGGAAGAAGTGGTTTCTCCAATAATTTTATGGGTGGATTGAAGTCTTCACAAAGTTCACAGAAGGAGTTGCTGCTGATCTTAAGTGCATTAACATTTAAGCTTTTTTTTTCTTTTTAGGACATGGTATGCAAGACCTAAGCAGGTCTGGGAAAGACAGGGCCTTTCGGAGGTCACGCCGACACCACAAGCCAGAAGGGAACCCAGCAATGCATCAAGACAGTATTTGTCTTTTCTGGAGGAGGATTCTGCGATGGGTCAGACAGCCACGATGCTCATCCTTCCTCCGTCCTGGGAGTGAGCTGAATCCCAAAACCTTCTACCTAAAACCTCCAGCTGGGGTTCCTTCCTTCCTGCCACTGGAGGACACTCTGGCTGCCCAGCTTGACAAAGAGTCCTGGAGGACACAGAAGCTGGCACGTTATGCCGGAATCGCAGGGTGGTCCTAATAAAAGGTCTCTCTCCTGTTTGCAGAGGACATTTTCCTTCTAATCTCCTCTCTGGAACAGATACTGGGGTTTCTCTCCCCCCCCACAAAGAATTTTTTAAAAAGAAGTGGAGAGTTACGGAATAATTTTTTGGGGAGAGCCCCTTGTCCAAGGACCCCTTTTTTCCTAGAGGGGGGGCACCTTTTTACACTGTGAGACTTCTCCCAAAAGGGGGGACCCTTCCCTCTCTTTTTCCTATGCTCCTTCAAACCTTTTTTTGGGGGGGTTCTCTTCCCATCACCCTGTTTGCTAAAGGAGACCCCTTTCCAGGGCAAGTAAAGGGGGAAACAAAACGAGTCTCTCTACCCGCTGGGCTGTACTTTCCCCCAAACTCAGCCGAAGATTCCCATCTCTGCCCCCTCCCCGCCTCAAGAACCCCACAGAATGGCTCAAAATATTCGTGGGATGGTGAACCAAAATTGCAATTGGGGGTGGGGGGGTGGAAGATTTGCAACTGGAGGCCATGATCCCTGGAAGCCCATGCCGTTCCTTCTTTCTCCTCCTACCCCTGTTATGGGTCCCTGCCCATGGCATGCAGGATCCCTCCAGAACCGATTCCTGGTGCCCCCTGGAGACCCACCTTCTCCTCCTCCTCGCGAGCCCTCCTCCTCCTCCTCCTTGCTGGACTTTCCCTTTCCTGCAACATGAAAGGGAAGGAAAGGATACTTTTTATCTCCCCCACCCTCCCCTCTTTTTTTGCCTCTCCAGGAAGCGCGGCTCAGTGCTCTTAACCCTTGGAGGACCGGCTGCAATTGCATTTTTCCCTTGCCTTTCGAGGGTCTCCTGTTTCCTAATGAAAAGAAGTCTCTGCCCTTCCTCTTCCAGACTTGTGAGCAGTCCACCAGGCCCACCTCTTTTCCCTTAGGAGAGAGGTGCCAGAGGACAGCTGAAACACCCAACCCAAAATTTCAACAGTGCACCCCCTCCCGTTTGTTCCTGGGGAAGGAGGAGGCTGTTCCCCCCATCCCCGGTCAAAGATTAAGTCCTCTGCCCTCCTTGTCACAGCTCCTCTTATTTGATCTTGCAGGAATCTGTGATCTGCAACCCCATGGGGTAACAGCCTATTCTCCATATTACTTTACCCAGGCTTCATGCTCTGAAGATGACACTCCTCGATTCAGAGCATGTTACCATAGTCTCTTGAGACTGAAGGATGCCTATGATGATGATGATGCCAGGCAACCCCTTACAAAAGGAAAAGACCCTACATGGCAATGCACATAATATAGTAAGTAGAATACTGTATGGCATTATTAAAAAAACATTAAAAAGGAAATTTGAAAAAATTAAATATTAATAATGAAACTGTAAAGAGGAGAAAGACCGGGTGGATGGAGGCAGAGTAGTGGAGGTGGCAAGCACACACACATCCAGACACACATTTCCCTCATTGTCCCCAGAAGTCCTGCTCGAACCAGAGGAGAAGAGGAGAGGCAGGATGAGGATCAAGGGGGTCCCCTGAAGGGCAGAGATGACCCACCCCCAGTGTGCCCCCCTCACTTTCTGGGGAAATAGTTCCAAATCATGAGGAAATCAATGCGCTTCTCTTTCAGATTTCACAGGGCTCCTGGTCAGTTCCTCGGAGACAGAATGGACTAGGGCCTTTTCTTCCCTCCTCTAAAGCGGACGCTGGCTTCTATTCCATCAAGCCCTGAAACCCAAAGGAGGCATCCCTGCCATCATTTATCCTCCACATGGAAGGCAGTAAGACTACCACTTATATATTATTTTGCATGAAATACTCCATTGAGCAATTTAAAAAAGAAACGAATTTGCAAGAAAGCACCAGCACTTAGTAAACATTCCGGCTGGGATGGTGGCTGCTTAAAATAAATTCCCAATTTCATGCCGAGCTTTTTCTGGATGCGGAGTCAAGAAATGAAAATCTGTAGAGTGCACAAGGAAAGCTCTTCCACCCTAGTTATTGCACGAGAGAAGCAAGAATCTGAAGGAATCGCTTGCAGGAGAAGGAAGGCCAAGCATGCAGAAGGCAGAGGGAGGAAATGGGGTTTCAAGAGGGGGATTTGGAGGGGCTTCAGACATGGGTTCGGGGGGGATGCCTGCTTGTTGTCATCCTAAGGAGACAAGGCTGGTGCACTGGGAGAAGGAAGCTTTCTCAAGAGAAGGAACGTCCTCCCCAGGAATCAAGACTCATCCACGCAGAAAAATCCCCCACAGAAGCCCCCAGTAATCAAATCATGCAGAGACTAGGTTGCAGGAGAGGAGAAAAAGAAGAGAACACAAACACAAAACTTTCTCAGCCCACGACAGCAGCTGGGAAGGGAGGCACCTTTGAATACGAATCACTCTGAAGTCCACAAATTGGCAAGCTTTGAAGTTCTCTAGGACTCCTGATCTCTGATGGCAGAAAGTGAGGAGGAATTAAAGAACCTCGTAATGAGGGTGAAAGAGGAGAGCACAAAAATGGTCTGAAGCTCAACATCAAAAAAACTAAGGTCATGGCCATGGGTCCGATCACCTCCTGGCAAATAGAAGGGGAAGATCTGGAGGTAGTGACAGATTTTACTTTTTTGGGCTCCATGATCACTGCAGATGGTGACAGCAGACATGAAATTAAAAGACGCCTGCTTCTTGGGAGGAAAGCAATGACAAACCTAGACAGCAACTTCAAAAGCAGAGACCTCACCTTGCCGACAAAGGTCTGCATCATCAAAGCTATGGTTTTTCCAGTAGCGATGTATAGAAGTGAGAGCTGGGCCATAAAGAAGGCTGACTGCTGAAGAATTGATGCTTTTGAATTGTGGTGTTGGAGGAGGCTCTTGAGAGTCCCCTAGACAGCAAGGAGAACAAACCTATCCATTCTAAAGGAAATCAATCCTGAGTGCTCACTGGAAGGACAGATCCTGAAGCTGAGGCTCAAATATTTTGGCCATCTCATGAGAAAAGACTCCCTGGAAAAGACACCAATGTTGGGAAAGTGTGAAGGCAAGAGGAGAAGGGGACGACAGAGGATTTCATCGAAGCAACCAACATGAATTTGACCCAACTCCAGGAGTCCATGGAAGACAGGAGGGCCTGGCATGCTCTGGAGTCACGAAGAGTCAGACAGGGACTACTCCCTGGACCATTGCCAGTCCCTGGCTTGAGCCCGACTGGGCCACAAAGACAGACCTCCCGCCCCCCAAACACACTCCCCCTCCCCACAGCTGCTTCGTGCACACGCCCTTGTGTGCGCCAAGGTCTGTCTTCGCAGCCCCGCCGGCAGCGGCAGTGAGAATGGGGGTGGGGTGGCCAAGAACATCGGCAGAGGAAAGCCACAGGGCCGTGTTCTTGGCAATCCCAGAGGAAGAAGCGGAAATCTCCAAGAGAAATATCTAGGTCCCGATTCCACCTTGCTAAGTCTCTACAACAGCAGCAGCCCCAACTGAAAAGGGACAGCCTCCAGAGAGAAAAGTCCCTCAGACGGCACTCTTTCCTCGGCCGTGTGGATCTCTCCCAAAGAGAAAAAGAGAGGGGGGAACTGTTCAGCCCCTTGCCAAGCTATTCCCTTCCTCCTCTTGGAAGTGGTAGGAGCACTCACTCCCATTTTTTTGCACAAGCGGGAAAGAGGATCAGGTCCTTAAGCTGTCCATCTGCCTGCAGGAGAAGAGAAGCTCAGAAATGCTGGGCTCTTTCCTCGGCCGTGTGGATCTCTCCCAAAGAGAAAAAGAGAGGGGGGAACTGTTCAGCCCCTTGCCAAGCTATTCCCTTCCTCCTCTTGGAAGTGGTAGGAGCACTCACTCCCATTTTTTTGCACAAGCGGGAAAGAGGATCAGGTCCTTAAGCTGTCCATCTGCCTGCAGGAGAAGAGAAGCTCAGAAATGCTGGGCTGGGACAGGGCTGGAGAAGAGCAGGACTGGTAGACATGCAGAAGGGCCAAGAAAGTTGTGATGGCGGGAGGGAGAGGAGGGGGGGAAGAGCCTCCCCCCCCCACTCCACACTGTCCTCAGAGGGTGCTCTTCAGTGAGGGTGGAAATTGTTACTTTTAGCTCTAGAATACTCGGAGAACATCAGCGCAGGCGGAGACTAAACCCTTATGTGTGAATTCACAGAGGTCCACTCGAAGAACCATGGTTACAGGTAAGTAACCTGTCTATTTTAACAATGCAAGTTAAAGTTTCACCTGCAAGAAGATTCCAAAGTGTTTTTCGGGGGTTGGGGTTGGGGGTTGGAGAAAAGGGCTTAAAGGCAACCCAAGAAAGATTGAAGAAGAATTAGAGCAGAACAAGCAAACAAAGACTTCACACATGAACAACTGCTTGGGGCCCACACGCAGAGATGCCAGGGGAAGCACCTGCCGTGTTTTATTAAAGACCGTATGTTCTGAACTCCTGCCTCTCCCCTCTGCTGTTATTTTTTTCTTCAGTTGCTCAGTGGTTTTTTTGTGTGTGTGAAATAACTATTCTTGCATTTTTGAAAAAATCAAAGACTCTTCCCCAGCTCCAGACGCTGACTGGATTTTGTAGGATTCCTCTTTCCATGGATTCTTTCATGTGACCAAGGATGACCACTCTTAAACACAATTATTTTAGTTTGTATCTTGTATTTTGTAAAATATTTAGTGTTTTTTTTAAAAAATGTGAAATGTAACTCCCGCTCTCCTTTTCAGTGACCACCAGGCAACAGTGACTGAGTCAGTGGCAGGAGGCAGAGAGCCTGGGGCGGAAGCATGAGAGAGCTGGCCACCTCCTGCCCTTCTGGACGGAGCCCTTGCCCCACTGATGCCAGAAGGTCTTGAAAGTCTCCTTGTATGGAGGGAGAAGCACGGGCTCCTTGAAGAAAGTGGAGAAGGAGGCAGCTGGCCTGGTTTCCATGGCCTCCAAATGGATTCTCCTCCCATCAATAACCTGATCAGGCAACACAGCAGCTGTTTATTCAACAAGAGAGAGATCAGGGCCAACCTTATACAGCGGACCCTTGACCTACGGAATTAATCCATATTGGAACTGTGTCCCTAGGTCGAAAAGTCCGTAGGTCGGAAATGAATTCCCCATAGGAATGCATTGAAAACCATTTAATCCATAACCGGCCCAAGAAAACGCCCCGCCCACAAAAAAATTTTTTTAAGGGAGCTTACCTTTCTGAAGCCTTCCGTGGTCCCCCGCTGCCACCATCGCCACTGCTGGAGGCCTCTCAGGGCTCCCCCCACCCTGCAGGCTTTCCCAAGGTGCTTCGGAGGCAATATCGGTGGTGGTGGGGGGCCTCTGAGAGGCCTCCCATGGAGGTGGGGAAGGTCCCCGGAGGTCTCCCCCGCGGAAACAGGCTTTCCCAGGGAGTAGACTGGGCCTACTGGGGGAAGCCCTCCCCTGGTAGGCCTGGTCTACCAGGCTTTCCCGGGTCACACCAAGTTTAAGTCTGAATCTTTGATACCAAGTTTTGAGTCCCTATTAAAAACAAGCTTTTTCCCCCTCAGAAAAAGGGGAGAGGTTGGGTGGGTTCAGAGTGGAGCCTGAGTCATTGGGAAAGAACCCCCTCCCCCCCCAAAAAACCTGGTCCAGTTTGAGTGGAGTCACTGGTGCTTCTCAACGGTAAACTACATCTGCAACTCCTGACCTCCTTTTTGGGGAGCTTTCCACCCCCAAGTACCGAGCTGTGGGCCTCCCCCCCCACATAT